TACCTCAACGAAAAGGCCATAGATGACAAGCTGACAGCTAACAGAATAAGCAATGGTGGAAGGCTGAAAACTTTTTCTTTAAGATGATGAACAAGACAAATGTGCTTACTCTTAGCACTTGTATTCAACGCAGCACTAGAAGTACTAGCCAGAATAACTAGGCAAGATCCAAAACAAAACCAAAAAAGGCATCCATATTAGGTAGAAAGTAAAACAATCTGTAGGAAACACGATCTTGTATATAGCAAAACCTTAAGACTCCATCAAAAAAGAAAAAACCTATTAGAATAAATGAATTCAGTAAAGTTACAAAACACATAGTCAACATGCAAGTCAGCAGCAAAATATTTCAAAAAAATCGAGAGAGTAATCCTACTGATAACAGCATTATAAACAAACTATTTATGAACAAATTTAAACAATGAGATGAAAAACCTGGAAACTGAAAAATATGAGACACTAATGAAAGATATTAAAAGATGACACAAATAATGGAAAGACATCCCATGTTTACGGATTAAAATAATTTTTAAAACATTCATCCTACCCAAAGCAATCTCTAAATTCAATGCAATCTCCCATCAAAATTCCAATGTCACTTTTCCCGGAAATAGAAAAAACTACCCTAAAATTCGTATGAAACTACAAAAGGTAGGATGCTGCCAAAGCAGGCCTGAGAAATGACGAAACTCCAGGCTGAACAGTCACTGATTTCAAACTGTATTACTAAACTATAGTAATCACAACACCATGGTACAGGTATGAAAATAGATACATAGGACAAAGAACACAGAAATAAACCCATAGTCAACTACAGATGTCAACTAATTTTTGGCAAGAACACAAAATGTAAAAGGGGTGGTCTCTTCAATAAATGGTGCAAAGAAAACTGGTTATCACAGGCAAAAAAAAGAAAAGAAACTGAATTCCTATTTATATCACTTTCAAAAATTAACTTAAAGACAGGCATAGTACCACATGCCTGTAATCCCAGCACTCTGGGAGGCTGAGGCAGAAGGATCACAAGTTAAAGTTCAGACAAGGCAACTTAGTGACTTACCAAAACGGTCTCAAAAAATGAAAGGCTATTAGCATGTAGTAGCTGTTTGAAGGCCCTAGGTTCAATCCCCAGGACTTGAGGGGAGGAGGGGGTTGAAATGAATAAAGACTAAGTTCTGAACTTCAAAAAAAAAAAAAAAAAAGAAACTAAGACAAAGAATAAAATTAAAACAAAAAAAAAAATAAAAAAAAAAGGATAAAAAAAATACAAAACATAATGAGTTTTTGGATATGGCACTAAAAGCAGAGGTAACAAAAAAAAACCAGGTAGGACTATGT